GGCACTGAGGGTTCCCCCTCCCCCCCACCTTTTCCTCTTGGATGCTTTCTCTCACATGATGACAGATGGAGGAATCCTGCCTGGGAGCAACAAGCCCAGAACATATCCTCATGCTGAGAGGGCTAATGGGAAGTCTCTGTTAGCCCTACTCATTACAAACTCTGCCACAGTCACCTCTCAAAGAGCATAGAGGGTAAAAGATGGCCTCTAGCTCCTTTTCTCTACTCAGAATTCAGATAATATGAGAACAGGCAAAGGGAGACGATAATAATAGCAGCTAGCATTTATATAATGCTTTAAGATTTGCAAAGTACTTTACAAGTATTATCTCATTTTATCCTTACAACAACCCTGGGATTTAGGTGCTTTTATTATCTTTATTTTACAGAAGGGGACAGAAAGTTTGAGTGACCTGCCTAGGATCACACAGCTAGAAGTGTCTGAGAAAGGATTTGAACTCAGTTCTTCCTGACTCCAGGTCTGACACTGTGTCCACTATACCACCTAGTGAAAAGTATAGGGGTGCCCTAAAGAATCCATGGATAAATTTTAAGGTGTCTATGAACTTGGATGGGAAAAATTAATATAACTGTTTTCTTTTATAATTCTATGTATTTTATTTTATAGATTTAAAAACTTCATTCTGAACAGAGATCCATAGGCTTCACCAGACTGCCAAAAAGTTCAAAATTCCTGATATAAAGAAGAGGTGAGCAAACAGAAAGTAAGAAGAAGGAGCCACAGCACAGAGGTGGAGGAGAACCTGGTTTCTCAAACAGAAGACAATGGAAAGCTGGCATGTGGGTACCAGGGAGTGATGACAGCAGATGAGGGGTATGTTTGTAGCAGACTTCTGAGATGATTGGAGCAGGCAGACGGGGAGCTTCAGGTGACAACCTTGTTAGCGGCAAATGACTAAAAACATGACTAAAAACACACATAACAGGCACAATCCATCAGCCCTCCTGTGCCAGTCAGCTAATGAGCTCAAGGAGTAGAAGATTTTGCTGGAACTGCCTATTCATGTTGGGTGTTGAGCACTTGCCATTTTGAAGAGAGAGCTACTTTTATGGAGGTGATAGAGAGAATGCAAACTGCCCCTCATGAGTCCAGAGACAAACTCACATGGTTAAAGAGATCTTAAAAAAGAAATCCTCTATCCACATTCTTCAAAGCAGAATTCCTGGAATGTGATCTGCATCAGGCTGGGAGAGTGAGTGTCCACTGTTTACTGTCCAAAATATTGGGCAGGTAGGTGCTGTAACAGATAGAGAGTAGGACCTAGAGGCTGGAAGACCCGAGCTCAAATCCAGCCTTAGACACTTATTAGCCATGTGACCCTGTGTAAGTCACTTTACTACTGCTTTGCTCCAGTTTCCTCAACTGTAAAATGGAAGTGATAATAGCACCCACCTCCCAGAGTTGTTGTGAAGATCAAATGAGATAATAATTATAAAGCATTTAGCACTGTGCCTGGCACATAGTAGGTGCTATTTAAATTATTGTTAGCTATTATTCAAGATGCAGATTCAAATAGCATGTTAGGAAAAAATTAGTGAGACTAAGGAAATGATTAATGGGTTACATTAGAGTAGAGAAGTGGAAAAAGCTTGGATCACCAAACATGGACATCATTGATGAAAACCAGTCAATCTCAGGCCTCCAAATGACTTTCCTGGGATCAAACCAAAAAAACCGCTAGGAAAACAGTTGCTGATAATTAGAGTTACCAATGCAGACATGTACCGTTACACCTCACTTTTTTGTAACAGTTGTGAAAAAAAAAGCATGTGTGCCCTGAATTTTGCTCAACAGAGCCCTCTGTTCTATGTGCCAAGCATTGACTATTTAAAAACAGTTTGACAGCTTAAAGTGAAAACTGAACCATTTAAAGTGAAAAACCCTTTCATAATAAAAATATCCCTTTACATTTTCATAATGTCTTATAGTTCACAAAGCTCTTTCACAGCTAATCATTTAGTAAGAATTCTTGCAAGTCATCAGCTCAGCAATGATTTTCCCTACTGATTTTTTTCCTGAAAAAATATCTTGGCCAGTACTCTAAACGTGGAGAGAAATTGATAGTTCAGAAAATTTCAAAACCATTTGTTTTAAATTAATTTAGGAGCCAAGAAAGATGAGAAAAATGCTCTGTTTTATATCTGGTAATTCATTCATTTATTCATTCAATAAGCATTTATCAAGTGCCTACTATGTACCAGACAATGGGGTGAGAAAGACCCTTCAAAGGGCTTCCATTGTATTATAGGGTACCTTGAACACAGATAAGTAAATATATTGTTGTATTGTTCGGTTGTGTCCAACTCTTCATGACCTCATGGACCACACTGTCCATGGGATTTTCTTGGCAAGGATACTGGAGTAGTTTGCCATTTCCTTCTCCAGTCGATAAGGCAAACAGAGGTTAAGTGACTTGCCCAGGGTCACACAGCTAGTAAGTGCCTGAAGTTGGTGTGAACTCAAGTCTTCTGACTCTATCCACTGACCTACCTAGCTGTCTCTATCAACAAAGTAAATTAAAATGAATTTCCAAGAAGGAAGGTGCTGGCAACTGCGGGGAACCGTCTAGATCTTGACACATTAAAGAGTACCTGGGCACAACCTATAGGCAAGCATATGGTCAAAACTATGCTTTAGGAATTACAATTTGACAACTTTGTGAAGGATGGATTGGACAGGGAGGAGACTAGTGGCAGGGGGACCAATGAAAAGGCTACATCTACAGTCCAGGGAAAGGGCAATGGGCACCTCAAGGAGGGTGGCACAGAAAGAAGGAGGTTTGTGTTAGAGACATTTTAGAGAGAGAAACAAGATTTGGCAACAGACTGGACAGGTGAGGTGGTGAGAGAGAGGATGGCTGTGAGGAGGTGAATAAGTGCTCTTTGAGGGGAAATGGTCAATTTAGAAGGGAAATAGTGTTATAATGTAGAATTTTATATAAACTTAATCTGACTCAGTCTCTTCCCTGCTCTCTCAGGTGATTCTAAAAGCCTGAATATTACCTTGCTGTGTAAAAAAAACCCACTGCTTAATGATTCTGATGATTTCCATAAGTGGGTTTTCACACACAAAAAAATTAATTGGTCAACTCTGTCTATCCCTCACTACAGCCAAGGCGTGGCCCCCATCAGGCCATGTAGGCAACAGGAGCTGAAGCATTAACATGACCAGGATGAGACAATGAAGAAACATTTATGGAAGACTTCGCTGCATAGCAAATACGGCACATTATATATTCATGCATTCATTCAACGTTTACCTACTACATGAAAGATATTGTACAAAGGTGCCGTGGGGAATGCAAAGTTTGATAAGACACAGTCACTGTGCTCAAGGAGATGGTACAGGAGAAGGAGCCCTGACTCTGCATTCAGAGGGCTTGGGTTCAAATCCCTCCTCTGATGCTCCTCATATGACCTTGGTCAAGTCACTTAACTTCCGTGGACTTCTGTGTAAGGTCAAGGGGTACATCATCAACTGACATCCCTTCTAGATGTATCCCTGTGTGACCTTGGGAAAACCTCCCTGGGCCTCAGCTTCCTCATCTGCGTAAAGTGGGGGGGATTGGATTAGGTAGCCTCTAAAGTCACTTAAAGCTCCAGATCTATAAATCTTTGAGGACAATGAGGAAGAGACCTTTGGCATCACCTCGAACAGCTCCCTCATTTTACCCCTGTGGAAATCACTGCTCTCCCCTTCCCCTTCATAGTACCCGAACCTGTACGTTCTGACTTCATATCTAATGCTCCTTCTACTACCTCACATGTGAAGTGGAGAGGAGTCAGGTACATAAAAAAACTACAGCACTAACAAAACCACTGATAAGAACAAAATCCCCACATGAACCAAAATAGTTATAGCAGCACTTTCTGTGGTAGCAAAGAATTGTAGATGTGCATCAACTGGGGAATGGCTAAACAAATGGTGGCACGAGAATGGAATGGAATGTTAATGCACTTTGAGAAATGGCGTGTGTGATGAACAGAGAAGCCTAGGAAGATTGACATGAACTGATGCAGAATGGGGTAAGAAGGGCCAAGGAAAACATATGCACAATGCCTATAATCATACAAATTAAAAGAACCCAAAAAAATCAAAAATTTGGTACACGATTATAAAGAACAAGCTTGGTTCCAAAGAAGAGATTTAAAAGACAACATTCCCATCTCACTCCTGTGAAGAGTGAGAGGTCCACAAGGGTGGTATATTGCATTTATTCTCAAACTTTTTCAGTGTATTGATTAAGTATGCTGATTTTTTACCTCTTTTTTTGTTTTAAAAATATTCTTTGTTATATGGGATGGTTCTTTGGGGAAGGAGGAGAGAATGGGATGATGGGGAAATCATGATGTTAAAAAAAAGAAAACAACAGAAGACATCAATAAGAACTAATTTTTAAAAATAAAGTAAGACTCATGAGGGAAAGCCCATAATACACACTAGAAGGTGATAAGTAGAAAGGAGAGGCACAGTGGATGATGGATGATGGGTTGGCACCTCAGCTGAACTCCACAGTGACTCGGAGGGCATTATCCCAGAAAGCCTTACATGGGAGAGGATGGAAAAGGACTCTCTAACCCTTTGGCATCACCTCGAACAGCTCCCTGAAGAAGGAAATGGGAAGCACAACTAGAAGTGAAGGAACAGGAGGATATTGGAGAATATCACAAGCTTACCGAATGTCGGCCAAAAGCAAGAAGATGGCGGAAAAGCTACCTTTGTCGTACCTAGAGGATGAGGCTTATGCCTATACACAATCCTTAAGTCCACACCCTCAAGGTCAGTACCTTGCTCATTGGGAGGGAGAAGAGAGTCTAGAATTGAGATTTTTTTCAGTGTGGGGAATTCTCGAGGTGGGAAACCCCTTTACTGATGCAGGGGAGCAATTCCCTCATAACTTAGACTGTTAAGGGGGTTGTTTGTGGGCACTGAAAGGTTAAGTGACCTGTCCATAGTCATATAATAGGACTTGAACTCACCTGTTCCTGATTGAGAGGCCCACTCTCTACCCATCACGCCACACTACCTCTCACCTTGTCTAGCATAGCCACTTAGTAAATGTTCTTCAATTGAATTAAAGAAAAAAGTTGAAATCTGAAAGAGGGAAGCCCCTTGTGATTATAAACATATGCTTTAAGAGACACAGAGAGATGGAGGCAGAGAGACAGAGGGAGGAAGGGGAAAGGGAGGGAGAGATGGAGAAAGAAACAGAGACAACAGAAAGGAAGGGGGAG